CACCCATTCATTCAAATCAGGTGTGTTTGAGCAGAGAAAAAAATAAAACATGCAGGGCTGCGGCCCTCGAGGACCAGGATTGCCCACCCCAGCATTAGGATTTGCACAATATCCCCCTAAATTTATCTATTTGAACATTAAATATCTTGTCTTTGTATTCAGTTTAATAAATGTTGAAAAGGATTTGTAAACAACATCCCAACTTCTTTTGAATCGTGGTTGTAAAAAGAGAGAGAGAAAAAAAGCTTGAACATCTTTTGTTTTCTTCCTCTAACTGTCCCCCTCTTGTCCTCTCTGTGTGTCCTTGTTTCTCTCCCACGCCTTCGACCAGGAGTGGAACATTTAGTGCTTTACTTCACTGACTCAGCGTGGTACGGTAGCATCCCCTCTTCCTCTTTCACGTCGTCTTCCTCATTTTTTACACCTCCCTTCACCCTTTGTTCACATCCACCCCATAAGTGAAACACAGATGTCTTTGGAACAGACACAGATGATCAAATGGCTGAATTTAAATTTTCAGTCATGTCMGGACAGTTTGGGTTGTTTCGGTAAAGGACTCGTGACGAGGTTACAGCCGACACCTCTGTGGGTGAACAGTTAGCTCCTCCTCCACCTGAGAGGAGAACCCGCTGCGGTGTCCTGGCAGAGCAGAGGAACACGCTGACCTCCGCGCCGCCGCCGAGCCTCGACATCAGAGGCCTCGTTCAGCACCTCGAACCCTGCCGGCGCGCCTCCGCGGATTAACTCTGAAACTTGCGGATGTTCTCCTCTGAAAGTGATGGTTATCCTGTCAGCCACTGAGCAGGGGAATAAATTAACTGCAGAAGAAGGTTAAAGCTGTCTTATCAGTCGGTGTGTGATGTGATGCTGCGAGACAGGAACAGCTCCGAAACCCCGCCGAAAACCCTTCGACGCATTCGCCTCCAACACCCAGACTGTCATCTGTGCTGTTCTCAGATAACGGCGCTCCCGTCATCACTCCCGGCATTTCTAACGGAGGCTTTGAGGAGAGARAACCGGGTCAGATTGTACGCTTTGAATATATATTTAAGGTCAACTGGGGGAAGATTTCAGACRTTCAGCTCTGTCATCGAAGCGTTGACCTGAGCTGTGAGGGTAAACGAGGTCGTCGAGGAGCCGAGGAGCGCGATCACGGAGTGATTTGTGGGTGAAGAGGGGAACTTTGTTGTCGATCTGGGATTTATTTGAAAGCCAGTAAACTTGAGTGAGGGTTAGAGCGATGCGCTGCCAAGGTTTTGTTGCAGGTGAGAACCCCATTAGCTAGATTCTCCCAACAAAAACCACACTGCTGTAGTCCAGGCGGGAGGTTATAAAAGCAGGAATGAGGGGATTTCTGCCACAGAGGCAGAGGAGTGATGGACGGCCTCTTAAGGAGGATAAAGCTGAAAACCTTACAGGATGAGCAGGTGGAGCTTCCATCTATAGGATCCCTTCAACTTTTCTAAGTGGAGACTTTTGAGGTCAGAACCAGGAGCTCAGTTTTACTGCTGATGACTTTGAAGATGTTGATGTGTTTTGTTGAAGCACAGCACCAACCTTGCTGTTCTACGCCCTCGTGTTCCCAGCTACGAGAAGCCTGAACCATTATTTGCTCTGTAATGACACAATAATCAGAATTATTCACTGCACTTATGAGCACTCAGTGTTTTACTCTCGTCTGCAGCAGGAAAGTTAAAACTCTGCAGAACTCCATTATTCTGCTAATAATTTTCCAGAATAATTGGGTATTTTGACAGCGGCTCGTTGCCTGCAGCTCAGCACTAAAAGCTCATGTTTATTCATTATGGTCACAATTCTAATTGTTCGTTTAAGTGATGATGCAGCGCGGAGTGATATTAGTCATCTAATGAGCCTCCGGGGGCCAATCGCAGGGCAGTTTGGGCGGATCAGCACTTTGCGTGAGAACGTGTTTTAGTGTTCGCCACGGAGGAGGTGAGAAGACTCGGAATGAAAGTCCCTGCATGTTTATATTTTATTTACTACATTTTTTTTTCAGGCATCACATCAGTTTTTCCATTATCTCCCCCCACCCTCCTCTTTTAAAACTTTCTGAGTCGTGCATCTATTCTGAGGGGTGATGTGAAACACAGCAGGGAAAAAAGGAGATAAATCGACTGCAGTTCCACCATCTGCCACCAGATGTCAGTGTTTGTCAGTAAATGTTGTTTTTGTTGTCGTTTTGCTGCTGTTTGATGAGAACATCCAAAGGTTTTCATGCCTGGGTGGAGAGTTTCACAGGGTTCCTCTGCTGTTCTGATGAGCATGGAGTTTAAATTTAGTGTTTTCATTTCTGAATCTGGTAAGAGAATAAAAAAATAATATTTTCAGACCCTTTTTTTTAGATAGAGATAGAAACATCTAGGATTCTGTTTGGTTGATGCAAACAAAACTTTTTGTGTAAAATGTTCCTAAAAGTTAAACTAAATTGATAAAAAATCTTACACAACAGGTAGTTGTTTATTGTAGAAATATGTTAAATTACATAAAATTATTCAAAGTTTTGATTCTCAAAAATGGACTAAAGGTTTGAAAATTAAAGTTTGGAGTTTAAAAAGGTAAAATGTGTCAAAACTCTGCTCTGAACTCATATTTAGTTAAAATTAAACTACATTAAATCGTAACTAAACTCAGACTGATTCTGTTTTTCATACTTTCTTTTAGCAAATAAAAATCTGTCCTTATATCTTCTTAATAATAATAATAAAAATAGACTAAAATATTAACTAGCAGGTTGCGGTTGAGGGCTCTGAGACAACAAATTAAAAATAAAACAAAAAACATGACTAATTCACTTACACACACTCACACACACACACTCACACACACACGGATCAAAGCAAACAGATCAAAGTGTTGATGTGTGAAATGACCAGTCTGTGGAAAATGAATCCAGTCTTTTTCTGCTCTAACGTCTGATAAATTATGTAACACAGAGT